TTTTCTTCTGGTAACACATAATGGACTAGTAAAATAAACTCTTGCAATTGCGACTTCCTTTGGCTTTAAGAGATGCTTTGCTGAGTGGGATACTTTGTGTATTTTTGCAACCACATGACTATGTGTGCATACCAGCCGGAAGCACGAATGGGGGATGGAGAGAAACGTAGCAGATGACAGAAGATGACTGCTGCCCTGAGCAGCTACTGACAGGTGCAGTGTGCTCAGCTCTGAGGCCTATTTCAGCACGGCTTCATTCAAAGGAAAAAAAAAAAGCTTTCTTCTGCTCATTTAATTCAAATACTTGACAGAGAGTCTGCTTGCTGTATATTAACATATATCTTTCTGGCATTTTCACTGAATTATCTTTCACAATAAATGGTATCTAGTAACTTCTATTAATTCCTTATCAGTGATGTAGTGGAGTACCTTTTTATTCACTAATCTCAGAAAAACAGAAGACTGCTTCTTTTGAACAGTTTGAGTCATTTGTTCTCTATGCAGCCTATCTCGTGTGTTTATAGGAGAGCCCAGGGGAAATGAGCCTTTGACTCGCTCTGGATATGCAGCTGCCGTGGTTGAGTGGCCGCAGTTCAACTGACTGCACACATCAGGACCGAGCGCACGCTGGGACGACAAAGGACACAGATGACAATGGAGGTCTGGAGTTCACTGGCTTGCATCAGATCCCGTCCACTCTCTAATAGGCAAGTTGTACGTGGGCTGACATACAAGCGATTCCCCAGTCTTGTGTGAGTGTTTGGGTACAGGACCAAGATCTGAAAAGTGACATTATTTGCGTTTTGTGTAAATCCCAAAGTGTGCATGTACAGGAGTGTGTATATGTGAGTTGGAGAGAAAGAGGGAGAGAGGCAGAGTGGCAGAAGAAAAAGCAACGACGGCCCGCTGCATCAATCTCCATTGCTTGGCTAAGACTGTGTATTTGTCACAGATGAAGCTGGCGGTGTCCTGCGTCACATCCACCTCGGCTCACTCAACATTTTCAGTACCCCCTTAAAGGGATGATTGCTATGGCATAAAGCTCCTCACCTTAAAAACACAATTAACCTTTTCTTAACGGGGTGCCCGGTGATGAAGAGTTCCTGGTTTGAACTTGGACTTAAAAAGAGAATGACTAAATTAAAAGTGATGCCTATGGTGAAAGGGTCATTTGTAGTTTTGAAGGTAAATGAATCCTAAAACAAAAAGGGAAACTCCGTTTGTATCCCTTCACAACCTCAAAGCATTTCTGTCCTTTGATAATTTTATACTCTAACTACATAATGATGGCATCATTTGTTCTGGGAAAATGATTATTTTTTTTCCCTTAATGAATGCATCATATCACCACATTACCCAAGTCAATTGTATAAAATCCCCCAAATAATAACTAAAAACCTAGATGTGTATGAAGTAATAGCTATGGCTACAATAATTTGGCCTGGGAACTGAAAATGTCAAGGCAGGGCATTGTTATTTATAATGAGGGGATAGCAGGTCCTTGCTAGTGGCAAGGCTGTCCTTTTTTTTTTTTTTATCACAAAAATACACCATTAACTGTCCTTTTAAACGTTACATTAGTTGGCCACTTTTCAAAGAGCCAATTAATCAGCCTCTTTTGTCAAGTTGAGTCACCTGGCAAGACAGGATCTTTTATGAAATATGTTGAAGTGAGGTGTAATGGAGGTCCTATTCAGGGACTTGGCAGAGAAGGGCCTGTTATAATTGGTGCCATGTGTCTGTGGTCGTCCCACAAAAGGCTGCTGAATGAAAGGAAGGACAAGTCTCTGTCTGTCAGTACCTTCAGAGAGAAAACACAGAAGGACAGTGTTGTACAGCTGCTTGTTTATCTAACTTATAAAACCAGTGTTTTGCAGACTGAAGGTGGATTTAGTTCTCAGTGTTCAGTCTTTTGATCAGTACAGGACCAATCCCCATAAATGGAAGGACATTATGTATTCTAGGGCTGCAACAACTGGCAACAAATTTAATTTGTCCATTACCCTTTGCTCAATGATTGGTCTATAAAATGACAGAAAATGGTGAAAAATTCCCCTCATTATTTTCCAGAGTACAAAGTAACTTTTTAAAATGAATGTACAGTTCAAAACCAATAAAGAACAAAGGAAAATCGACACATTAACAAGGCTGAAGGCGGACAGTGTTTATGTGTTCAATAAATGACATTTAAAGGAATACTTTTCAGAAATGTACTTACTCAATTTCCTGTTGAGAGTTGAGACTGTTCCCTTAAAGGCTAGAGAGAGATAGAAAGTGCTAGCTCGGGTCTCAGCATCTTTAAAGCTCACCAGCTAACATGTTTTATATCATTTTTAATTTGTTGGACAGAGCCAGGCTACCCGTTTTTCCCCTGCATTCAGTCTTTATGCTAGGCTACGCTAACTCTCTCCTTGCTGTAACTTTATATGTAACAGACACGTGACCTCCTCGCTTGAATCTTATCAAGAAAATTTGCATATGTTGCAAAAGATCAAACTATTCCATTAAACAATCAATAATCATGTATTGTGGATTATTTCTTTATTTCATAACTATTCATTTCAACAATAAATGTTTACCTTAAGGGTGCGTCATTTTCTTTAAGTATCTATAACTCCATTTTACATCATACATATATAAACGCCTGCAGGGCAGAACACCTTCAATGATAGTCAAAGAAAACTGAAACAGCTCCCTTGTTTCATTCAGTGGAATTGTGTCTCACAGCAAACCATTATTAATGCTCAAAAGCTCTCCGTCTGTCTCTAAGCAATGTCCGGGCACTGTTTCCTGCTGCCATCGGATGTTAGTGACAGCATAGTGGAGAGAGAAAATTGCATATTATTTACCCAGCGCCTTCAATATACCACTTTTCCACTCTATAGCCTGCAGCTTACAATCGACAGCACATGCACGGGCACAAAAATGTACAAAGACACATGCACGAGCACACAAATGTACAGAGGCACACATGCACACTCAATGCAAACACACGAATTTAGCTCAAGGCTTCAAGCCTTTCCTCCCTGTCGCCTGAGTTTTTCAGTGGTCCTATCTGCCCTGACATGTCATTAAAAAGTGTCACACGTTCTGGGGGGGTGCTCTCAGCCTCCAAACTGGCAACAGGGATGGAGGTGGGGGTGGGAATGATGAGCTGGTGCTAGACCACGCGTGCAAACTCAGCCCTCGGGGTCACATAGCCTTCTCCTGTGGTATGATGGAAGCCAGCTCTTTTCTCTCTGGTCTCCTTCTCTCCTGTCCTCTTTGCTGAGACCAGGGCTTGCTAGCTGGTTTTTGGGTCACATAAGGGCAGGAGATTTGAGCTTGACCGTGAGCACAATCACATCGTCTTTCCCTGGATGTCACGGCTCTGCACAGAGGCACAATCCGTTGGATATCAGATTAGAACACAGGGCCTTTTTTCCATTCCAATTTCTTCACTTATCACCATCTCTTTCACTTTTCTCAGTCACTCCTCATCCATTTCAGCCTTTGTCTCGCTCTGCTTCTTTCTCTCCCTCCGACTCTTCCCACCCCTCCTTCTTTCCACCATTCCTCTTCGAAGGCAGCGTGACCCGGGTGTCTTGTCTCAGGAACCAGTGCAGCGGGTTGTTCAGACAACCGGGAAAATGTTCCATTTCTTTTTTCTTCTACTTCATCTGAGTAACACACTTCTGCACCTCTCCATTAGAGTGTGAGATTACAGGAGTCTGTCGGACTGAGACCGCTGGAGTTTTTCAAGGCAGATTATAGGGATCATATGTTCTCCTAAAAAAAAAAACCTCCACCAGCCTTGTTGTGGTTCTTGGATAATTTGACATGGTTGTCTTCCACATTCACAATCAGTCACCCCACAATTTCCAATTTTACTGGATTTAGTAGGAGAGTTTCATACTCAGGTTAAAAAAAAAAAAAAAAACAAGTTCTTGCTTATTTCAGTCTTGTCACCATTGGGGACAACTTTTCTTCTCATTTCTGATGCTTTCAACTATTTGTCCTTGCTTTTTGCATTTCACTTAATACGCTACAATCCTCCAGTACAAAAAGCAGGCCTTATAGATTTGACCATAATCTCAAAATGCCACATATCAAAGGATAAATACTTAATCCAAAAGGTGGAAATTTCAAATATTGACATCAAGGTGGGTGCTAATATAGCAGCATTGATTGTGGAGGTCTGTACTGAATCTGAATCCAGCTGATAACAGGCTGTTTCCCTCCTTACTGGTTGATAAGAAGACATTTCTCTCAGTGAATGACTCCTCTGCCGACAGAACAATGTAATTTATCTGATAATAATTTTGCCTCTATTTTTAAACAGCTGTAAAAAACTTTAAATAATCATGGTTTTTGTGACTTAATTCTCATGACCTGTGGTTTCTACCTGCTGGATGTGGCTCTGTCCACAGTGCTGCCCATTTAATTTTTCATGAATGTTGGCTGGAGCCGACACTGCGACCTTACTGATTCCACTACTGATTGTTAAAAGTTAACCTGCTGTACCTCACTGTCAATACCAATTTGGGGAATATAATATTTGATCATGACTAACAGCCTACAGGAGTAAATAAAACACCTGTTAGGCCTGTGGAAAAAGCACTGTGTCTGTATTTGTTGCTTTTTTATGCTGTAGTGTCTCACAAACAAATGAAGTGTTACTAAGAATAACACACATTCTGAGGGCAAAGCACTCCAGGGATTATGAACAACTGCTGTGTTGGGCTGCATCTGATGCACAAAGTTGATGAACGCTACCTAGACAGAACGAGGAGTCACTTGTCTGGTGTTTCATGCTGTGCGCCTCCCAACGCAGAGAGAGAGGGTCGATGGAAAAACTACACCAACACTGCTGACATACAGTATCTGTACTGTCGGAGGTTAACCAGGGCTCGATCCCGCTTTCTGTCTCATGATAGACATACAGTGTGTGTTCGTTTTGGTAACGCACACTGTAGTGCCACAGCAGAGCAGCGTCACTCTACGGCTCTCGTGTTGATTACCTGCACTCTAGAGCCGGGGTCCCGTTTGATCCATTTGATGACTGTCTCGTAGACCAGCTCCTCAGCCTTTGTGTTCAGACTGTCGTTGGACAGATATGCTGCCAGGTCCTCCTTGGAGACACTCAAAATCTCCTCCTGCCCTGCCACCTGAAGGGTTATGGAGGACAAACAGTAAAACCTCTGATATGAGGCTAAAGGGGTGTAGGAACATACTATATTTCCAAAATCTAAAATAACAAATGAATAACCTTTAAAATAAAATACCATATAGACATTGTTTCGTATTCATGTGGAGTACTTGCATTTAAAATCTCTCTAGTCCAAGCATACGTAATATTAGGGATATTTTCTTTTCAGACGCTAGGTTTTATCATTTCTCACTGTATTTGACACTTTGATTGCAGACTGCTGCTTCTGTCAAGCAAAACCTTAGACAGTGGTATTATTGTTGCTCTCTCAGTCTTATCTGGTTTGTTTACTCGCTGCTTTATGGAAGAGCACTGCACATGCACATTGAAAGCCACTGTACCAGAGTCAAATTCCTTGTGTGTCCAGCACACCTGGCCAACAAAGCTGATTCTGATTATCACAGTTGAAGATTAAGCAGAAATATTATCTATTTTCCTCTTTGATGGCTAATGGAAAAAAAACAAACATCTGTGGCATCAGTGACAAAGATGAGGTCAAAAAACAAATCTTCTTTTCTTGGCGATGTTGCATGATTAACCGTCCTCTTCAGCTGCAACCAACTTGATACCTATTTTTTAATTTTCTCTGCGTGTGGTTTCCATCCTTGTCTATATTTTTAGATTAGCCTATCCAACAGCTGCTTGGTAACAAGCTCAAAGTGCAGTGCATATCACATTTTACAGGGCATCATGCTCCTACAATAAATTTCATCCTATGTGGTAAAACCTTTAACCTGACAGAAGCGTTTTAATGAGTCCATTGCACAAATAGGCCCATATATTTGCCAGTTAAAGTAAAAATGCATAAAATTTTAATGGACTTCATGTGCTGTAGGTTTTAAGTGTAAGAGCTCGTTTTTAATCTACTGTGGTACCTACAGACATGAATATTCACTTCTTCTGTGTAAATTAGTCTCACAACATCATGCTAAAGCAAAACAAGTCATTAATTCGCTTTTTGGTCATTTTAGATATGAATTCTGTTATGGGGATGGTTTCAGTTAGATTTTATGTCTGTCTAACCTTGCTCTGCAGTAGTCGGTGAATTGAGGAAGATGATGAATCTCTACCCACCTCAGGGAAGTTCTGCAGTGCAAACGCTTTGGCCATGTTGTGGAGCTCTGTGCAACTCATAGCTTCTGCCATAGCCAGCACTCCCAGGCAGTTAGCCGCGGTCAACTGTTTCTCTGGAATCAGTAAACAAGGTCAGAGAGATGGGGAGATGGTCAGAGACAGACAGAGAAACCAAAACAAAAAAAGAAACAGGCATATTAATTAAGACAGACATTCACACACCCATAAAAAGATCAGGGAAGTTGAAAGCAGCTGCAGGTAGCACAGCCCCACAGCCTGTTGAAGTGTGCATCTGCCTGAGGCTGAGGGTGAACAAGCATAATAACTCAAAACAGCTCCGGGGACAAACAACAGGGGGAAATCGATCACTCACAGCCCAGGCAGGAGGTGCTGGATGGCAAGGAGCGGTATTTGGGATTAGCTGGGCCACTTTAAAGAAGTCCAGCCTGCTCTCGGGTCGACTGCACACAGACACACACAGCTGAGACTATATGAAGCCAGCGGGGAGAAGGTTTATGCTGCTGCCTGTGATCTCTTGTAAAGATGGAGCATTAAAGGTGGTGTGTCTGTAATTTTTGTTTTTAACACACATTGCCATTTATCCCAAGAAAGGAAATGTGCTGGTAGTGTAATGCAAGCACACACACACACACACACACACAGGAAAGGAAATGCATGGATCAACTGGGACATTGGCCACTAAAAGAGACCTGACTAAACAATAGCAATAAACAGGAAGCTATGCCAGGTCTTTTATCACTGAAGACAACAGTCTCACAGCCTTTCCTAAATAAATATTAGCCAATAAAGTTCACCTAACAGATGCTAAATCACAACCTAACAAAAACCAAACCACAAACTAAATAAAAGTGGGCTTCAAGCTGCATCAAAGTGGGAGCTGGGGGCCGAACAAAGGGTTCTCTGAAGACTTCCTTCTGCTCTGCCATTTGAGCAGGTGAAGATGCTTGCTTACTCAGAACATTATATTGCACAATCCTTTCAGTAGTTTCTCCAGTGCTAGGTCTGCAATTTAATTTATTTCATAATAGTGTGCTGAATTCACCTGGGCTGTGGCAGTGAAAATATCTGAAATTACTTCAATTGTGTCCAAAACCCTAATAACATTTAAACTATGGAGCATCTTGATAATTCACTTGAAACCTTCCAATAATGAAAAAAACAGGCAGAAACAGGTACACAGTAAGTGACTTACTGTATTCACTTGAAATTGAAGTTGTGTGAATAAAAAGTCAGAGTGGTATAAGTAGGTCAGAGATGTTTGCTTTTTCTCCACAGAGTATTTGTTACAAACTTCAATAACATCTGACAAAGTATCAATTTCTCTTTGCTCAAGGACACACTTCTAATGTGGTAAAATGTCCTGAATCTTGTCAAGGAAGGATGGATTGACGTCTCACTGCCTATGGAGTCTGAAAATGGCTTTCCTGTTTTCCACAATTTTTTTTGCCAAATCAAGAAAAACAAATCAATACCATGAGTTGCTGCTTTTCTTTTGCCTTCTTTTCACTCCTTTCCTGCTGCTGACCTTTTTGCTAACATGGACTTCCCTTGAGTTACAGACACCCAAAACAATTTATTAAATGGAATGCAAAACCTGACATTTTCATCTTTTTGGTTGCCTGACCCACTAAAATATGAAACATGCTATTTGCTTTTCATGTGACCCCTTGGGCTCTTGCGAGCCCCTCCCCTGCATTGCTCCCCTTTCCATACCTGGTATCAAATCTGTTTTGGTATTTTTCGATTCCATCATGGTTCAGACCAGAAGATTTGACATTTAAGTAACAATTGTTCCATGACCTTTTTATAAATCTGCCCCTGTGCTTGGTCCTGCCCACGGAGGTACTGTGGCCAGCTGAGAGCGTTAGCAGACTTTGGAAACATGACAAAAAAGAAAAGTGATGTGCCAGAGCCAGGGAGCACATTTAGGTTCTGCAGAAGGCATTATGTAAAATTGTGCACAGTAATGAAGCATGACAGTGTATGAAAATATGAGGCTGTAGCTACTGAATGTAAAGGTTGTGTTGATTGTATAGACAAATCTGATGCAATAGGCAGGCACACACGCTAACAGATGCCAAAAATCCACAGTACGATATTACATCGATAGTCCACAATTCAATGTTTATCATAATATAAAAAAATGAAGAAAAAGATTTTTAAAATGCCCTTTACTAAATAATGCTTATAAAAGATAATGCACTAGTCAGTAGCAGTCCTTTTTTGTGATAGAATAAAATAATATATAATTGCAGCAGCTGGGTCTTGTAAATAAAACAAATCACACTCGCAGTGGAACCGAACACGACTGTCTTTGTCCTAAATGGGGCTAGCCTTGGTCAATGTCCAGTGTAGGTTAATTTCCTATTGTGAAATTACAAATACCGTTACATCCCTACTTGCTAATGTAAACATAAAACACACATATACACACACACACACACACACACACACACACCGAGGTGTTCCTACCTAAGAAGGAGACACAAACTTTACAGAAGGTGTTGAACTGGAATTTGTTGGCGGCCTCCAGCAGCGTCTTGGCGTTGGCCGAGTCGATGACCAGTGACCCCGTGTAGACGAACTCGAGCAGCAGCTCCAGCACATCAGCGTTGATGTTGCTCATTTTCAGCTCCAGCATCTCCCCGCTCCTCGTCTCCCCCAGTGACCTGATCAACCAATCACGGCAGAGAGAAGTGAGTTAGGGGAATTTTGAGAGGAGAAGTGAAGCAACAGAAACAGAAAGAGGATAGGGACACAGATACATGTATGCTACACACAACACCTACAACACACCTTGGCAAGTACAAGATCGGGGGGACAACAACAAAATGTGAAAAGGGACAGAAACTTAACATGATTTCTACATTTCTATGGGGCTAGCAGAACTACAGTGCTGCATCTGTAACAAAATGTCCTCTCTGAGTAAAGATTAGGCAAACAGAAGTTATTGCTTGGTTTCAACAGACCTGCTTATCACGTGTTTTCATGTATGCATAGTTTTAGAGGTGGACATGCATACATGGCAGGGTACATATGAGCTATCAGACAGAGGACAGAGAAAGACAGACACTGACATATTAGACAATGTAAAGTATGCAGGTTAAAGCGTGTTGTGTCGAAGAGCTCTCGCTGTTTCTGAGCCATGTTGAATATCAAAGCTGCGTATCCACTTTTACTGGCATGGTGTATGAGGTGCCAGGGAATGCTTGGGTGAGCAAATTAAATGGAATACGATATCCCTTCATAATGCAGAGCCTGAGATGTTCAGGGAGTGGAGGGCTGCTTTCAGAACTGGGCCAAGTTATGACTTCACCTGGATCAAATGGCTGAGATTAGTTCTCATGCAGGATCACCCCAGGGAGGTATGAGAGTGTTAAATAACATCTCGCCACCCATGTTTAATGTCCCACATGAAACAATAATCCACTCAAGGGCAAAATAAATGGAATCAAAGCCCCGCAGAATGCATGCCCCCACCACTATGTCTCTCTCCCTGCGGCTATGGACATCAACAATATGAAAAGTTGCCTACATTAAGATGGATGGAGGCTGTTTGCTTCTGTCAGTCATACTAGCACAATGATAACACACTGTTTCTGTGTGTGTTCCTTTTCTGTTGGAGCCAGTTTGTTGGATTAGAAATCATGATAAACAGTCAGCATTTAGTGACAGATAGACAGCAAAATAAAGAAGATGAGATAGGTAGACGGAACGCTTAGAGTGAAGACAAGGGGAGGTCAGTGAAGAAGAAGCAAAAGGGAGGCAGGGCGAGACGGTTCTTCCACAGGGAGCCAGCAGCCATCCTTCTGAGGGAGGGGTTGGGTTGTTCCATGACTGTGCCTGGGTCTTTTAAATAAGAGATGTCCCCGCCCACCCCCGAAAAAAAAATCCACCATTACAGCTAAACAGAGCCTTTGTCCCCGCTGCAATAATCATCAGTAGCCTGTAGTGTATGAACTGAGATATTAGTTGTCATTTAAAGCGCAATCAGGAGGTGAGAGGGGAGAAGGACATCCAAAAATAAAATAAAAGACAATGGCATTTGTCTCTGGATGGATATAGTCTGGAAAAACCAAGGTAGTTACTCTTTATCCTCCTGCAAAGCAAAAAAGCCACATAGTGTTAATGCCCTTTTCCCGCACAAAGCCCTGCAAAGGGGGCTGGTAGTAAGACAAAAAGAAGGAAAAGGGAGTGTCGGTTCAGGGTTAAAGTGATGGAGGGAGGTGAGGAAGAAAAAGAGGGCCAAAAAAGGAGCTACAAATAAAAGAAGAGCATGCTCATCAACCTGGTCAATTAGTGCAATAGGAACCAGCTCAAGAAGCAGGTTGTTTTTATACTGAGCACTTATCTTATGGAAATGACTTTTCTGGAGCTTCTAAAAGAGGTAGATATTTATGCTGCGTCTGATTGCAGACTTGAATTTAAATAGTGAAAGAAGGAGGCAGGGAGGACAGGGAGAGACAGAGGAGGAGAATGAAAAAGATGGGACACTCAGGCAAAGAAATTTGTTTGTGAAAAATGCACCACTTATTCAAGAGGAAGTCTTAAAATGAACAGACCATCAAAATGGTGGTAAGCACAGGCGGAGAGCAAGGAGGGGAGCAGCCACAGACACACACACACACACACACACACACACTTCCTTATACATCCTTAAACCTAAAAACTATTTTCAGGAAATACATTTAGCTTATTTTCACAAGACCATTTACTCTGTGGAAGTATATAAACTACTAAGTCATGTTAAGACATCAGCTTACTCCAATTCAGAGCCTACACCACCTGGGCTAAAAGTGGCTTGGATTTAAATCTGTCATAACATAAATCATGAGTAAATTATAAAAATAACCTAATGTGGCAGGGATTCTTGTTTTGCTTATGTTTGCAATCCAGTAATGAGGCCGTGGTATACAGGGGAGACTTAAAGGCCCAATTCCACGTCTTATTCCTTACCCCTACCCCTTGCTTTTGAGTGCTCCTTCCTTTTTAAATTAACCCTCAAAACTGAGTTACAAGGAGTTGTGGCTGAAATCCTCTCCTATGAAATGAGACAAGGGAATGTCAATATGTTAGAAAATTTGGTGTAGAACAGAAAAATCTGACCATAAAACTTTCAGTTCTGTGTTCAACTGTTCCAGTTCCATTGAAACTTAAAAAAACATGTTAAAAACTTAAAAAAGCCTTCTAGCTGTCCAGAAACGTCCTATTTGCTCAGGGTTTGTGAAATCCATGGAAAGTAAAATTGATTTTGTATAAGAACAATGTTGCTAATTGAATTCTGAGGGGGCTATTAGAAGATCCTACGTTCCCCTCCGGCTGAATGGAGCAGCACATGCTGGACTGTGAACTGTGGCTCAGCTGCACTGTTCAAACAGGACAGACACTATAATGGGCTTTAACACAGCTCTCTATCTAACTCATAGTCGTAACGCTCTCTGACTCACAGCCATAGAAAAACCATGGGTTGACAGAGAGAGGAGGAGGGAGAGAAACAAGTGGCATGAGGGGATGTGTCAAGACTGCTCAAAGATTCTGGAGCTTTTTACTTTACTGTAGTGCAGAGATGCAGTGGCCATAAATTAAATGCCTGCAGAGCACACTTATTGGAATATCCTGAGGGGTAAAATGAGATTACTAGAGATGATCTGTCTCCTGCATCGGCCCTTTAGAAGGTAGGGTAATAGGTTTTTGGGTGGGGGTGATTGCAGATGTGTGCATATATTGCAGAGTGGCATTACATCCTTCAGCTATTGTGGGGGAAGATGGCAGGCTGGATCAACACATACTGTACCGAAGGCCTGGATTCTCTGCATAAAAGTAGCCACTAACCAGAGTGAGACAGCTATTTTAGAATTTTGTTGAAAACTGAATTTGAAATTTGCAAGATGGAAAATAATGAAAACATTTATGTCAGTAGTAAAGTTTTTCTTTTTGGACACATTTTAAGGAACATTAAAACATTTCTTTGAATGTCTTGTGGAGCCAGAGGACTGTCTCCAAAAATGTCAAATGTAATTTCAACTATCACTCTGCCATTCCATGTTGCTTTAATTTAGGCTCGTTGCCAATTAAACCTTTAATTTCTTAAGTGAGTCACTGGGTTGGTGTGTGTGTGTGTGTGTGTGTGTGTGTGTGTGGGTAGCCCAGGGAAAATAAGTGTGATATGCACTCTCTGACCTTTCATCATTACATCTCTACTTTTTAGTTTGGCAAATGGCAGCATGCCTGGATAACACAAAAATTATATCCTCGCATCCTACACACACGCTAAAGGATGATGCAATACAACACGTGTACGCATTCCATGTCAATGTGCACATTTTCAAGTACATACTGAACGCATACACACTGTGATGGTTTAAAGCAGGTTGACAGGAATGTCTCTGGAATGAGCTTGACGAGGGAGGGTGGGTGGTTACGGAGCATGTAAGGAGATGAAGTCTCTGTCTCTTATTTGACCTCATAAAGATGGAGAAAGTAGTATAATTTCAGTTGTACTGAAAAAGTCACCTGAGAGGTTTGTGGGTGACAGTAACTCAATGACACCAAAGGCAGACAAACCTTTGGCTCTCTTTGCTCCTCTCTGACTGAGTTTGCAAGACTCGGTTGGACTGCAAACTCCTCGCAGCTACAATCAAAATGCTCTCCTCCAATCTCTTCCCTTCAAATGCTCTTCACTTTGCTGCTTTTCTGTCCTTCTCTTCTCAACTTATTGTTATTCTAATCTAACACTACTCTCATCTCTATAAAATCAAGGTGCCACTTACCGTTTAAAATAAACAGCACTTACTGCTGATGGTGTGGTGTTAGCATAATGCACATGGTGATGACTTCATTATGTCAAGCTAAAGATGTCTTCCAACATCACCAATTAGTATAACAAATTCATTAGAGATTCTCCAGTGTGAAGTCATGAGAAATCTTCTATTTTAGACTTGAACTTATGAAAAACAACAGGGTTATTACAATAAATCTAAGGTTTGCAATTAATTAACCAATTAATGAGAATTCGCTCTACTAGACTGTCAAATTAAACACAAAATATTAGACAATGCAAGTGGCACCAGGCATGAACATGAGCTTGATGAAACTCCACCTGCTCCTCTGGGAGCCAAGGTGGCTTTCAGGGGCCCTTGTCTTTATGCATAAATGATCTAGATACGTCCTGGATAAGAGGCACGACTGAGACAATCTGATAGACAGGTTAACCAGCGCGAGGGCTTCGCTTCAATCCAAAGTCACTTTTGTCTCTCAGGAAGCTTCTCTGCTGTTGCCAAGGTCAAAGGAAAACCGAGTGTCTCTCTTCTATTCATGTAGCGAGTACGAGTGGAGCTGTCATGGAACGTACAGATATGGCTCTGTGGCTTTTCTCCCTCTGTTCTCTCTCTAGTCTTCCTCGCTCCATCCCCATTCAGGAGGAACAAGTGTATCAGTGTTGAGCGAGGTGGCCGCAGTGGATGATAAAACAGCTCTCCGTTCTCTGGGGAGGCAGTGCGGCTGTGGGGCAAAGTGACAAACTTCCCTAAGGCATTCCAGCAACCACTACGAACTGTACATGTCTTCCTGTGTGCCTTCGTTTTTGCTCAGCACTTCATCCCTAGCCATTCAAGTGATAACACACACACACACACACACACACACACACACACACAACACCAAGGCAGCAAAACAATTTTGGGTCCGGGGGACTCTCAATCAAGCTGAAAACACCTGCAAGGATTTGAAGTAAGGATGAGGACATTGTGGTATTCCCTCCCCAGAAAACTAGGCATATGAAAAAATGACACATTTGTGCTTAACAGTCATACACATGCATTCATACACCCATCAAGGCACACTAAAAAGGTCTGTAGCTGACACACGCACACAGGCATCCATGGAAACAAAACAGCCCATGAAGACAAAAAATATGAAGTATGAAGGGCAGAATAGTAGAGTAATACTTAGATCTACATCAAATGAATACATTAGTGAAGGGTGGTGTTAACCTGTGAAAGCGGTGGTTCAGTAAGCTGTCTTAGATGTGCTTTTGTGTCGTCCTTTGTTTATGACTCTGAAATGTCTTTTTTATTAGACTAACCATGATGTATTAGCATATGAAAAGGCTGTTTTGCAGCAAAAAACTCATGAATTAGCAACAGAAAAACATGGTAGCTTGGGAGACAAAAAAAGAAAAACCCTCTGTCCCAAAGACAGTGTGACTTGGCGAATTACCACCCAAAGTGTATAATGTATAATTTTTTTTCTTTGGCCCTTTGGTGAGTTTTAAAACATCCACAGTCATGGAACATTTTCACTGCTCATTAAAATGGAAATGTGGTTAAATTGCCCTACATGGGGAAGAAAGGTAATGACGAGGGTTGACCTTTATTCTCCAGTTTCAGATACATTCATTTGAGCGGGAAGAGGAAGGAATGGCTGCTGGCCCTGTGTTAGGAACCAAAGTCTTCACACACCTGCAAGAGAGAGAGGGGAAGGGGGGAAAAAAGCGACACAAATGCGCCCTATGAAAAGAACAGGTCGGATCAACAGCTGGTGGGAGGGGAAGCGAAGGCAAACCTTTTCACCAGGTCCTTGAAATACAAGCTGCAGGAAGCTAGAACATTTTGGTGGACTTCAAACTCTTTGCCTTCAACAATAATTTTCAGGTCTGTAAACTCTTTCGCTCTGCGCTGTTGGTTCAACTCCTTCAACATCTCTGTAGAACAAGAAAAAGAAACAGACAATGCCACATTTGGGTTTAGAACGGTCTCTGTTCCATAGATACATGTGCATCAAACGCATGACAAGAAGAAACAGAACAAACCACTGAAAAGTGCAGATAGTAGAACACAACACTGTGGGCCAGTCTTAAGAAACACTGTTCATTATATGACAGAGAAGAAATGATGTGCAGATTTAGCAAAAAGCTAAATGAAATGTTTATGTGAAAATGTAGCAGAAAAAAGGAATATGTAAAACAAGAAATATTAGCTCACATGTGCTATTCTGTACTGAGGATTATGCAATACACAGAGTATGCTAGTGGGTAACACAGACCAAGAAATGAGATCAAAAACTAGGATTATTATAGGGGAAAAAAAAAACACTTGTTTGACTGTATTTGACCTCCGTAAATTTACACTGCGGGACAAGATGAAGGGAAGCTGAATGAGATTAAAGAGCATCTAAAAGAGTAGGGGGCTGAAAGCAGAAACACTGTCAATGCATTATTCATATTGAAATACAGTTCTTTGGCTTCTCACTAGTGTCCTACTTGGTGCAGAGCTGACCTTCAAACATTGCTCAATGAGAAAACAGCTGCTTATCCCCAAATCCCAACACCCCCTTCTACAGTATGTCTCTCAGAAAATACCCCCAACATCCTCAACCCACTTGCCTTCTTCTCTGGAAAGGTTTTCTTTTCCCCAAAAAACAGTGACAAAACACATTCTGAGACCACATGCCTGGAGCAAACTAATGCGCTGTTGAAGGCCACAGTACACAGTGTGGCGTATAACATGGTGGAGTAACACCATGTTAAGCCTGGCCTTATGGTAGCGTTGGGTCGGAAGCGCTTGTTTCTTTGAGTCTTAATGAGGCACCATGAGGGGATGCTGAGAGTGAAAACCAGCGGGAGACTAGCAACTTATTCTACAGCCTTAGGAGGGATAAGCAACACTACAGCTTTGCTAATCTTCTATCGAGAATGCCAGTAACAGAGAATGCTAAGAGATTCTAACAGTAAGCTACATACACAATAATGTAGAGCATTATGATTATGGAAGGAGCCAGCGTCTATACTGTTGTCTTGGCATTAACAGAGCATTTCATAAAGACTGCAGGCTGTGAGGAATAGTAAACAGTTATTTGGCACAAAGTGTAATCTGCATTGTGTAAGAGCACATATTCCATGCTGGCAAAAGATACAGAGAAGATGCAGGTTGATTCAAATAAAAACGGTGGCAAAGCCTCCCTTGATTAGCACAAAGGGTTAGTTTTCCTGAAGCTAATCCGGACACTACCTCAGCTTAAACATGGCATTTGTTGTCAGTAATGTCATGTGTAACAAGCAAGTTGTGCATTTGTGTGTATGAATGAGTATGTGCTCAACACAGCCACCGAGCTATTAAATGCGGAAAACCGATCAGACTTGTGATTGTACTGTCGAGGCTGGAGCCGAAATAAAGGAGTTTTTCGCAATCATCCTGAAAGAGGTCTGTGTTCCCGCCAGACTCAAAGCAGAGATTTAATTAAACTGAAATGACACTCTTGCCTGAGTTTGGCTGGAATATCTACTCATTTAGCTCCTTCCGTTCTCCTGACTGACACTGGGAGCTCAGCTCTGAATTAATTCACTAGCTGAAATAATACAGTATAAAGACATGACAAATAAGGTGCAATTCAGAAGCATGCTTTGTCAAAAACCCTTTTCTCTGAATGGTGGATTCTTCAGCATTATCACCTCAAGAAACTAATGGCCAGCAAAAAATGATCTGGTTATTTAACATGCTGAATAGTAAAACGGGAAATAAATAACAAATGCAATTTTGACTGTCTGGCTTTTGTACTTTGACTGATACACGACGAATGATTAGAGTGAGCCATACACATGGACACGCAAATGCAAAGGCTGGCGTTTGCCTCGTCGTTCAGCCATATCTCTCCACTCTCCACATTCCACTCCACTGCTGCTTGTCAGTTGGCCAGCTATCTGATTACTGTGAGGCCATGGACTGTGAATAGTGAATGCACAGTAGTTCTGAGACTGCAACAGAGAATATCCAGCGACCGATATGGCTCTCACCTCTAATCAGCCACACCACATTTGCCCGGAGAATGGAGAAAAGTGAGAAGGGGACACAGAAAACTCCACTTGTCAGCAAACAATGGCCGCCACCCTCGGAGCCTTGCAGATGCACCTGAAAGCCTGATGGAAAGGCTAATTATAGCTTCTTGGGGTAGATCAGTGAGCACCCCTAGAACAACTCATCACCACCAGGGACCATGAAAGTGCACATGGCGGCCCCATTCTCAAGTCTGGCGTGGAGTGTGGTGAGGCACAGCCATGTTCAATGGGACCATGGTGGCTTTGAAAGACTAAATGTCTCAATACACTTAAAAAAAATTCTTGGGAGCCATCAGGTTCTGCAGCAGAAAGTAACGCCAGGTGAAAAAAGCAGGGGTAAGGGTTTGTTGTGTACTACACATCTGGAGTATGTTATGAACTGCAAACAGTGATGAAATGCATTACTGTAGTTTCCAGACTGTAAGCCGTTCACAAGAATACCACCACCCTAAGCTGGCTCTTTGTGATTGGCTGGGGTATGAGCACTGTGCCAACATTGCCGTTCAGCCTAGTAACTCTGTTCTACTATCAAACATCCCTGAGCGCCACGGCCAATGAGGTCCTCGGGTGAGATTTCCAGTAACCTATCAGTGCACGCTACTATAAGGTGTAGTAAATCACTCACCAAGTTATGATTGGCTGCTATAAAAGGGCAGCTCAGCACGCCATTGGTTGATCTTGAAGCCATTTTAGGGTTCTACTGTACACATATGGTACATATAGCCACCATTTTGAATTTAGACAAAAACTTAAAATTTGACACAAACTCAATGTTTTCTGGATTTTCTAGCAACCTGCCAACTCACACAGGTTCACAACAGCCTAAAAATTATAAGCAAAAATGGAACATGTAACACAGCAAAACACAAGGCTACAAACGTGATGTTTTCTACACCTTTGCGTAGATGAATGGTCTTAGAATTTTTCTTCCCCCCTTGCAGAGAAAGTGTTGGCACCACTTAAATACATAATTCAACTCAGAGATTTCTGGCAACACATTGGAATGAGTTTCCTCATATTTAGGTCTTATATTTAAATCTTTGTTATCATATTGGATCTGCCTCAAAATATTTACGTTGTTATGGGATTATTTTTGATAAAGAAAGCAAGAAATGCACTGATAACATAAAAATAATAAGATAAAATAAAGAATTTGAAAATATGTTATTTTTTTTACTATTTTGTCAGAAAAAGTAAAAGAAGATATGATAGGAAAACCTCACTCCTGGCAGGTGAGATATAACACTGTGAGGTACAGTATGCACAATAACTGTTGACAATTTTCTAATCCAAGAATTGTTTCTCTTATCGGCCTTGCTTTCGCTCTTATCTCTCTTGAAAAATCTTACATTTCTCCAGCACAAGTGAACAAACAACTGTCAGTCTAACTGGATGACATTCTCAGCTGAGCCACAGAAGAGACACTGATGTGTTCACGTTTACCTTTTACTTCTTTTAAAATTTCAACAATCAATTCACACTAACACAACTAAACTGCCTAGATGCAACCAGCTGATCAATAATTCAATGTACACCTCTGCCATAATGGGTTTCCTTTAACTCGGAGAAGACCTTGTCTGTGCACCAGTAATGTTTGTTTACTGAAGCAGTGCATGATCAAATTTTCACACCACAAAAGAGCTTTTATCCTTAAAGCAACTAGAACATTAAGCATATAAAGGTCCACTTTTCATTTCATATCAATGTTCTGACAATGTTCTCTGCTCTGTAAGTGGGAAAATCTCAGTAAGCAATTTTTATTTATTTTAAATGTATTGCATTTTTGATCACACTGAGATGTAAAAAAAAATTTGAATACATTTACCATTACAACATTCTGATTATAAATTTGTTTGTATTCATGGAAATTACAGCATTATCTAAATAATTTTAATTAATTTTCAAAATTTTATAACTGACAATAATTATATACAAAGTCACAAAGCTCAAAAAACTGTTTCCTCTATGAATAGATTAATCAATAGATATGTTTACATGACAAATACTGTTATTAGTTTTAACTTGCACATAAAAATTTGTAATTTTCCTGATCAAAATGGGCTCCCTTGTACAAAAGAGGATGGTTAATAAACGTAAACAAAAGAAGCCCTTCCAAGCAAAAAGCTTTCACCGTGTTGGGCTCCCCTGCAGAGAACAGAAGGTCTGAAACACCGCCATAAATCACTGTGGTGAAGTCATGAGGATTTCTCAGGGTATTCCCATGCAAAGTGGTGCACTAGTAATGAAAAATAAATGAACTATGGGTTACTTGTTTGTGCCCCAGAACCCAAAACATTATTGTGAAGGTATGAACGTGATCAGATGTATATATGGGGAAAAAAAAGCTTCCTTTCTCCTGCTGACTGTGATAAGCCACTTTAAATGATTTCCCTATGTCCAACTGCAGACAATAAAAACTCCCACATGCAGAATTCACAGGCAGCGAGACGGTCAGAAGTTCACTTTCAGCACAAGATAATGTTCATCTCCCTATTCTGCAACCTTAAGTCTCAAGTCTAAAAGCTGAAAAGATTCAATGTCAGCTCGGAAGCCAAGAAACCATTTACACAAAATTCTTTAAGAAAATTACTTTACTGCCTGATCTTTTTTCAGTTCATCTCTATGCAGCAAAAAGCAAACCTACTTTAAATTCAGGGTCATAGCATCCTCAGACCAGAGCTTAATAAATAACTGAAGGATTAATAAAAGATTCCTTAAGGTCAGATAACACAGGTTTGGACCTATTGCCAGTAAAATCAAAATGTTTAAATAAAACTTTTGACTTCTTGACTTTTTGTTCATTTTCAAACTGGCCAAAATAAAAGGCAAATATGAATATATTTCTGCTGCATGTATTGACATAGAGTTGA